TGCGTGTAGTCTGGCAGTCTCATACGGAGATTGCATTATCACTCATGTTGACGCGTGTAAAACCGATTTCGCTGGGATGCACGTTCCGAAGCATTGCACGTGCATTTACGACCCTCGTACGCGCTGCGAGCATCAGAAGCCACGATATACGTTTCTTGGAGACACATGCATTTGATTCGCACGAGGTGGAACGAAGTTATGGACCTTCCCAACTTGCCAATTCTAGTTTCGTAAGAAATTAACAAATTAACAAGACAAAATAATAAAGATAAGAGCAGTCGTAATGCTAGTGTTCTATTTCAGATGTATACGTGAGTAGTCTGATTTGACGAATTGAGAGGATGAAATGAATAAATGTGACAAATAAAACAGCCGCAATATCGCGATGTCGGTTAAACGAATTATTCTATAATATATTATTTCATAATAAAACGCCGTCTTTTATACTTGTAAATTGTGAGATTTTCTTATACTTATTATTTTCTTATACTTATGTTTCTTTGAATTGTAATCGCTAAATTCACTTGATGTTGTCTACAATGCGGCACAATATTTGGAAAGCTAAATTTACATGTAAGGTGAATCGCTTGTAGTCGCTTTGGGATCACTATCTAGACGATTGATCCCTTGAGAGAGATCTCGAGATGACATGTATATCTCTTGCGATGGGACGTCATGCAATTAGACGTATATAGTTACATACGTGGTCATATCGGTAAACTCTCGAAACCAACGCTGGATGGTTCGTACGTGGATGCGTTAGCGCGATTCAGTTTGAAGCCGTAAATTAACGATAGTGGCAATTCGCTATGACAAAATCTCTGTGAAATATTTCGTCGTACGCAGTCGCACCGACCAATTGGCAATTTGAGTGGAATTTTTTTTCGCCGATGGATATTTCATGAGCCATATTTTAAATTTGTTTTCGCGCACCAGAGCCGGTAACTATTACGAAACGATATGTCACCTCGAACTCGAGTAACGGTCGTGTAACATGGAGAGATTATCAAATTCCTCGATCTAACGCAAAATTAGCATCTTGATGAAGTTAGGAATGCAAATTATTTTCCTTGGCGAGTTAGGGCTTTGAAGTTACACGATTTGCCGTTTAGAACTACTACAGCGAATAGCGTACGTAACGATATTGTACATAATGATAAAGTTCGCTCTTTCCATTTGTGCTCGAGCCTTCAATATTCTCAGCAGAGCGGGCGAGAACCGCCGTTGATATCTTTCGCAATATTTCACCATTAGGAGTCTTTCTCGGGAAAACGATGGCATTTTCGAGTCGTCATAAAAGTGTGGGGCACGCCACGATAAAAAATGACGCTTCTAAATCACGCTTTAGCCAAGATTGAATTTGGCCAAAGGAGCAAAGGAAATTAAAATCTCCTCTTTGATCTGCTTTAAGCGTAGTTTCGTTCAATAAAGGATTTCGTGATTTTCGACAGTAACTTAGACGTAATAGCCTGGTAACGCCCGTTCAGCGGTCGTATGGACGTATGGAAAGTGCTATTTGCGAACTATGATAAACGAATAGCTTGTAAAGTAATCGTCGTTTATCGACGCGCTACTGAGACACGCTGGAATAGTAGGCATGTGTACCATCCGGTGTGCATGTAATATTTACCGCGATACGACGGTGCTGGAATATAGCGACAGCATAACAACCAGGGATCGATATGTAACAGCTTTTTCTTACGGCTTCAATCTTACATTCCACATGCACGGTATGGGCGAGATGCATGCATATTCGTGAATAAGACTTTGGAAGAAAAATAATTGAATAAAAGTAAAAAAATTAATGTTACGCACATAATCACGAGTGCAAAGTGTTTCTTCTTTTGATTTGTATATTTTACGATATAAATTTTGTATATACGTTATATATGTATATGTAAATGTCGGTCCACAATAAGTATTTAATCTTTAAGTCGTAAGAAATTGACCAATCATAGTCGATTATTCTTTTCATATTCGATTATAATTGGTCAATTTCTTACTTCTTAAAACTTAAATCACCTATTGTGGACACTAACGCGATAAGTTAAAACCATAAAGGATACATTGACGGAACGACCAACGAGCACGCACGCACGCACGCACACGCACGCATGCACGCACGCACGCGTCGTCGCGCGATTTGTTATATCCGCGAATTATCGTGGTGAAAGTTGAGATAAAGATGCGTGTATTGTTTCGATTCTGCGTTCCGGCCAAGTTTTCGCGATAAAGTTAATAAATGGTTCGTGGTTCCTAACTTCACTTATCACGTCGTTCTGGTCTAATCAGTAAGTTCATTCGTTATCCATCATTGTAGCTACTTGTACCGAACATGTTGTGACTTTTAACGCGATAACGAAAGATCGACATTCGCATGTTCTACATGCGTTTGAAATGTACAAAATTGATTTGTGCAAAAAAGAATTTACGAAGCTATGTTTATTTAATGGTAGTCCGTGATATTGGACGGTATCGGTATCCATTGATATTGTGTAACTAATAAATAATTGGCGGAAGTAAAATGTCCAATAAAATTGGACATATAATATTGTAATGTTCGTATCTGTTCGTGTGAGATGGCATGCGCATTGTTTCAAAGATGAAACTAATACACAGATAGAAAAGTGGGAGAGGTTTGACGTAACAGTTGTGCGAATACAGAACAACAACGTGTCATTCGTGAAAAGGAATGCTTTCGATATTTTGATACTACCAACCAATATACTCTCCGCGTGCCGGATATTTTTATCCTATCTATATTCCATCTTTGATATTCCATCTATATTCTATCTTTATACACACATATTATATCTTTATAACATATCGATAGGTTTCACTTCCATTAAAGATATCAAATAATAATGTTAACACCTTTTACAGCTTATTTTTTTTTGTAATTAAAAAGTGTGTATGACACACATTTTTTATTACATGTACATATCTAGTAAAGGAGTCAATTTTTCCTTTTTACTTTTCTTATTTGATACGTATAAATATTAATTAAAATTACAGCGTTACACCGCTTAAGCAAC